AAATGCTTCAAAATATGATTAATAGTTTTTTTTTATTAACATTTCTTAGCTGATTAGCTAGTTTATACTTGACACTTCGGGTTAATTCTTTATAAATAAATAAATCCAGATTTTAAAATTTTATTTATAGTCCACTGATAAGTTCTGTACTAAATTTAAGAAAACAGACCTTAATAAAATTTAATTATGTTTTTGATATATATATATATATTTTTTTTTTTTAGATTATTTTTGTTGCTATTGGTGAACTTATTTTTTTGCATCCTTTTATTTTTATTTCAAGACTAAAACACATTTTATTTTCAAAATATCTTAAATTATTTGTGAAGAACATACATATCAGATATGTATTTGGCAATATATGTAAATTATTAATTATAATGGAAGACTTGAAAATATTATTTTTAAGAGCATTTTGATTATATACATTTTATAAAAAACTATGGAAAATTCTCAATTGTTCTGCGAATTCTGTGCGTTTATTTTATATTTTTCTGATTCTTAGTAATTTTTATCCGTTTTTCTCTGATACTCTTCAGTTGCTGGATTAGTTGTAAGATCCGCAACTTAAGATAGGAGTGATTAGGCAGATACAAATTTGTAAAAATCTATAGCTTACGTTTTCCTCAGATGTAGAACGAAAAAATCGTTTCAATACAAATTGCAAGTAGCTTAAATGTAACCAAAATTTACATCGAAACACCCACGATGTTGACCTAAGAGCAAAACTTCTCTTAAGCTGGCTCAAATATCGGTGCAAATAGATACGAGCGCAGGTCAGTTGGGTTAACAAAGCACGTGTCATTGTTAGGGTCAGATGCCTGGACAGGTGATGCGTAAGAAGTAATAAATAGATGGCATTGTTTGGCCAGGCAAGCGGAAACAGAAACACACCTCGACTCAGAAACACCCACAGTGCGTGCGCATATGCAAATATTTCCAAATGCAAGGCAGCTGCAAATGCGGAACAAAAGCCGCAGAGCAAGCAACAGGCAGCAGGCTGCGGGCAATAGGCGGCAGGCCACAGGATCAAACAGGGTCGGTCGAGGCCAGTGCAAACTAGCAAAGTAAACATAAAACCATGGCAGAACGCACTGAACCTGCTCGCCAAGGATGAGTTTTCTGGGACAATATGTCTTGCACCTTGGCTAAAGTTCTCGGTTCGTCTCCCAGCTCTTAAACTATTTGGTTTATGGTGAAGTGGACAGAACAGATGTGTTTGGACTCGGAACAATGCCACAGCATAGACCATTGCATAACAATCAGTCCAAGTATCTTTGAAAATCACGCATGAATGTGAATTGCTGCTAGACGATTTATGGCACTTTTATAGCAACCAATGGTTATATAATAAAGAACGAGAGATCTCAATAGATTCTAAGAAGCTGAACCATATGCTAAGGATAAAGGATTCAACCGAGACACGTAAAACTCTTTAAGTTCAAAGAATACAATGAACAATGGGTTACAATGCAGATGCACAGTTCTAAAAACAATATCATCTGAAATCTACCAATTTGATTGGACAAACATATCGCGGCCTATATCTATTGACATATCCATATTGAAAACTAACACAAAACGTGAATACCTGAAACTGAAAACGACTTTCAACATTTTGCACCGCAATCGCTGCTAATCAAAAGGCAGATTTAAAATCAAAAAGGATTTCACACACAAAGGACCCAGTCGGCAATGGCCCAAAGATATTTCTGGATCACGTTTGAACAAATACTGAAATAGTCAGGCACAAACTGCAATCTATCAGCAATTGTTACCACTATTGTCACAATTGGCAAAAGGTGTGTCAAAGGGTTACAACTCAATGAATACTCGACTGTGACACTGCAAGCTGTTGTCAAAATTGTATAAATTTGTACAGAATTGCATACAATTGCCAAAGGGTAATTCATGATTTTCCCTATCTAATTTGCTACGCTTTGAATGGATCAATTGAGTTATTGAGAGCCTGCATTTGTTTTGTGCAAATATTTTGGGGCTAGTTGGCAAATACAGCTGCTAGGGGAAGAATTACTTAATAGCTGCACAATATGAATATCATGTATTATTAAAGCGGGTTAAGAACCAGCGCCGAACATCTGTCTCTATATAGATCACTCTTGATTAATATCAAAATCTAAAAATAATCATTAACCAAACCATTATTTAAATAAAATAAAGTTGAATTCGAGTTTTTTGACATTTGTCATTTATTTTAATCCCGATTTATAGTTATACATTATTATTACATATTTTCAGACAATCATCAGTTTTAACAATAACGATCAAATTGTTGCAGTGAGGCGTAACCGACTGTGCAATATCTGATTCTAGTGTAATCGATCCCTGAATAATTATTAATGTGCCTTTAGAATTTGCTCTCTCTAGCTCTAAAACTACTACAGGTACGCTCTCTTCCGATTTTTGTGGTCAGGATGGGCGTAGTCATGAAATTTTCTTACTAATTTTTACTTAGTAAACTAATTTTGAGAGAGAAATAATCCTTGAAGAACATCTTCAGCGATTCGTCAACAAAATTTGGTAACTCTAACTTCAAAATTGTAATAATTATGCGGAATTAGGCATCTTATCAATTTCCTAGTACTGCGGTGTCGAAAAATGCTGCTTTCATATGGTTGGACAGACTGCGTGATGGACATTGCATGTAACCAATATTCACTCAAACCTTTGATATCAGAGAATAAATATACTCATAGTTAAAAAAGTGTTTACAAATACTGCTCATGTTGGTTAGTATGACAAAAAATAAGTCCACTTTAATATTGTATTTTCAATACTTATGGTTTGGTTAATATTAAATTCAAATCAAATCTAATCGCACCTTGATAAATATCATATTATTATTATAGTAGAGTATATATAATTGATTGTACTTATTTATTTCAAACCTGGACATTACTTTCGTTGCATTTAAATTGCTTATATTTCTGAAGATAAATTATCATAAGCCATAATATATTGTTGAAGATTGGTAATATATGTATACTTCAATATTTATTTATTTTTTATAATAATGATAAAAATGGAGATGACCAGCATGTGCCTCAATTCCTGAGCTGCATAATAAGCGAAGACCTTGCTTCAGTGCTTAAAAAACTATTGAATCATCGATGCGAAGTCAGACATGGTAAGAACTAGACAACGATCAGATTGAAAGGCAATTGCCAGACAAGACAGGCACCCGCACTATGTCTATGTTCTAAACGTGATGATGATGTTGATGATCATTCCTAGGTTCCTGTGAGGCAGAAACAATAGTCAGAAGATTTAGTAGAAAAAGTTGAAAGCATTGTGCGCCAGTTACTGGAATATCAATCTACGATGTGCGTTTCTGTGTATGGAGAACAATGCTCTACAATTTCAGTGCGACGCACTAAAAAACACAACTAAGCATAAAAAGCAGCAGGATCAGAAGTAGGAGAAGGAGACGGAGACGGTGAGGGAGAAGGACCAAGTGAACTGATCATGCGTGGTGTTATTTTTGCTTGCAGCCTGCTGAGGAAACATCTGCCCCGCTCAATTTTTCGTTCGCTTCTTCTTTATTTTTTTGCTGCTGTCCTTTCTTGGCATTGTTGCTGTTGTTGTTGTTGCTGCTGTTGTTGTACGCATGCGCACGCAGGACATTTGGAACAGGATACTTACAAACAAAAAACAAGTAAAGCGAAGAGCTACGTAAAAAATAAGTATAAGCAGCATGCGAAGACGCTGCTAGGTAGTACATGTCTCCGTATCCCTGTCCGTCTCTATGTCCCAACAGCGTAGGCTTGACTACTCCACTATCTGCCGGCTGCGATGACTATACATGTATAATACATGTACAGTACAGTAAGGTCCGGATTGTGCCTAGGAACAATGTCAAGGTCAAGCGCGTGCCGCCTGCAGACGATTTTTTAATAGAGAAAATCTCGAATTTTAAACGCAGGATATGCGTATCCTGCTTTAGTTGAAGACAGGCATGTGCTGTCACCAGCAGCTGTTACTAGCGCTGATCCTGTCAGTTAATTTTTGGAGCGTGCGTGTCCGCATTATGGCACTTTCTACTTACCCAAAGACGAGTCAAAAAAATTATGTTATATTTTTTTAATAGAAACGAACAGGCAGCAATTTTTTGGACCTATATCCTGCCGATTGGCGAGACCATCAGCTGCTGCTGCTGCTCTTCGCATTAGCATATGCGACTTCAAAGTTTTTAGATGCCATCGTTAAATAATGTCATGTAGAGCACCCACATAATGTCGCATTGACAGCTGCAAGAATTTTATAGTATTATATTATTATTTGAGCAAGGATTCCGCTCTAAGCCTTTCTTTTCATTAAAGAGAAGCGTCCTGTGACAATTGGCCTCGTCTAGCAGCGCCTGCAAATTTACCCAAACATGCTCCACAATAGCGATTATCCTTGCATACCACTCGTCATATCAATCCTTCCATTGTTGTGTCAACTTTGTTCTTCTGTTTGCCTAAGCCTTTGACAATTGCCAATGTTTGAATATTAAGACTGATGCAGGGCACAAATTGAATGCGTAATATCCTTATAACAATAGGGAACACTCAATTCAGAATGGTCAAATATTAAAATGGATATGAATGATGTGAAGTAAATTTTCACATCTTAAGCGAAAATTATGTTTACCTAATTTTTAATATATTTAAGTTGTTGCCTAACTCTCAAAAGCTCATAAAATATAAGACTAACTCCAACGAATATTAAAGTGTGTAGATATCGAGGATTATTATATATATATTATTTTTATGTATATAATATATGTTGAATTTATCACGCACTACAACCATCATAAATAATTTCGACATAAAATGCGATGGTCCAGTACATTATTTTTCTACTTTTATTATCATTTTTTGTGTGCTATTTTTCCATAATTTTTTTTTGAAAATAAACCATTGTAAAATTTTGAATTCAGGCATTTTCCAATGAAGGCATTTGTCTAACAGCAAGACATTCAGTTTTTAGTGGAATACTTGCTTATAGCCGTAACGATCATAGGGGCCGTCTGGCAATATGGCTGGCGGGCTAACTGGCTGGCTGACTGGCTTCGTCCTTGGACGCGGCGACGTAGCCCTAATCTCTAATCGAGCGTCACGCTGGCAAAGGCAGAGTCCTCGACTTGACGGAACGCTGGTGCCAGACTCATTTGCGACGCTTAAGCCGGTGATAAGCATCGGCAGGTTGAAGCTGTCAGCTTGCAGGTAGTTGTAGTTGTAGGACGCGCCATTGTCCTGCACAATTTGAGTCCTGGCCAGTTGGCAGCCGGTGCTCGTTCCTTGAAAATGTTGCAGTGTCCATTGTAGAATTTATATCATAATTTCAAAGCATTGTACCTTTTGCTACTGCTACTTCTTGTTAACGCTTGTCCTTGCCACACTGCAGCTTTATCCTGTTGCACGGCTTATCTTGATTTTAGCTGCAGCCCCGATCGATTTTGTTGCTTGTTCTGTTCATGTTTCTTATGCAGCAAAAAATTAAGCCGTTTATATACACACTTAAAGCGATTGATTTGTAGTACAAGCTGTTGCCTAGAAGGCAACTTTTTTGTTAGCAATCTGAATTATTTTTCCAATTATTATGTTTATCATTTATATTATAAATTCTATAGTACATGAATCGATTCCCTTCATCGACGTAAGTCTCTACGTACATTACCTTAAATACCAAGCATTTGTTATTTTCATAATGTTATAATTCTTATGATTATAATTTATATTATAAATTAAATGCTATATGAACAGATTCCCTTCAAAGAAATTAATGTCAATCTATGTAAGTCCTTTCGTTCATTCCTTTACAATCGCCCTTTATATATTTTTTTAAATTTTTTTTTATACATATACATACATTTTTCTTAAGAATCTGTTTATGAAGTTGACATGCAATTAAAGTCTGAATTGTTCAAGAACATCTCAAACAGATCATCAGCATCACCTTTCACCCCTGAGCAAACGAAAAGAACAACAACTTCCGGTCATGCAAATTTGCCGAAACATAAAACCTGTTCAACCTCTGAACCCTTGTCGGCATGACAGGCTGTAACTTATATTTTGGATATTTCTCATTAACCACCCGCCTTGCTGTAATTTGACGAAATCTGTGATCCTTGGCGATTAGTTACAAAAGACATAAAAACTTCCGGCCTGCGAAAAATTCGCGCAGAGGAAGCAACCGAAAAGGTGCGTAGCTGTTGCTCTGGAAACTTGTGTGATCCTGTGCCTGTGTCTGTACCTGTCTCAACGACAGATGCGCAAAATCTCTGGAAGAGAGAAAACAACAACAAGGATGCGGAAACAGCAGTCGCGGCTGCAGAATCAAAACAAAACGGGCAATGAGAATGAGAGAAACAAACGGCGAACAAAGCGGAAATAATAGCAGTCCGAGTCCCAGTCCCAGTCCCATTTTCGGTACCAGATCTCAGATCCGCAATCTTCGAACCCAATTTCAGTTTACAGACTGTGCAACAGTTGTCCCTGAAGACAACAAACTCCTAAAAATCACAACTGTTCGCAGCTCGTTTTGAATTTATTTCCATTCTGACTGCCTCTGTTTTGCTTTAGCCCCTGTGTAACATGGTGTGCTCAATGCGTTTTCAACGCGTCTCGCCATGTGTGATGATCATTAAAAATGCAAGCAGCCGTGGATGCTGCGGTTTGATAATGTCAAACATGTGTCTATCCTGTGGTTACGCAACCGTAACTGGAGAGGCTGTTGTCGCTTCTCTTGAGTATACACTGAATATGCTAATCACAGCGTTCAGTTAAGATTCTAAGGAAGCACAATCAGTTAACTGTTTATATGTAAATAACGGTTCTCTTGTGACCTGCATAATTGTTATAGCTTTACAGTGGGAATAAAGGATGCTAATACGTGTTGATAATAATTTTAGAAAGAAATTCAGAAAATATATGGGGCTTAAAAATGGGAGAGTGTAAGATAAATATTATTTGATTATTCAATAATTAATTAATAGTTATTGATATTAAATCTATACAGAAATTCAGAAGATATATTATTTTACGGATCGAATCCTTAACATCAAAGGTATTTCAAGTGCGTGCTTACGACTCATTTTTTTCATTTAATTGAAATTTATTAATAGCCTTTGAGGGGTTCAATGAATATTTCATTGATATAAATTATATGAATATTTAATATAATAAAATATTCGGTTCATGTTAACAGTGTCACTAATTGGACCTTGATTTGCTGTGGCATTAAACAATTGTTTTTAATCGTATGTTATTTATTACCTATATGCTTATCATTACATTTATTTATTTGCTTTATCTGTAATTAAGTCAATGATTGATTTTTTTGTTTGACAAATTAACAGTGTAGACTTTTCATAAGTGACACGCTCAATATACCAAAAATATATTGTAAAAAAAAAAAATAGTTGTAACAAGTCTACAAAGTCTGCAAACTTGTGAATAAAGTATTTCACAATTTGATTTTATTCAAAGTCAACTCACAGCTGTATCATTCGGGATTGTTGAATCTACAAAAATGGAGCAGTGTTTGTAGGTATTAAAATGCTATATGCGAATCGATTGCGCTAAAAATGCAGACTGAATGCTGAATGATCAAAATTAAGAGGGGGCAAAAATGTATATATAACAGACAGGTTGTGAATAAAATGATTAAATTATGGTGCCATAATTTCTGGCAAATTATAAAACAAAAGAGTTGGCACAATGGTGACCAATTGGGTATAGGCGATGTGGGAGCTGCGAACTGGGAATGTCTCGACGGGATTTGACGGGCGTGATGATTGCATTTTAATGGACAAATTAAAAATCAATGTCTTCTGAGTTGCACGTACTTTGTACTTAAATTAACCGAACGAAATTGTATACTCTGAAGAACCCACAAAAAAAAAAAGAAAAAGAAAAAGCATTCAACTGTCGATCGAACACCGATCGTGAGAATGGAAATGGCGACAATGTCGACGGGCGGCTGCCTGAACCCCATAAATCTTCATAAGCATGTCACGTTTCGAGTGCAACAGCTACTCGTAAATATCTGAATCTGAAGCCGTAGTTGAAGCCTCAAGGTATGCCGCTGACGATGACGAAGCTCCCAAAAAAAGTTGCTGCTCCCTGCGGATTAACAATTATTTTGACATAAAATAGCCGCACGCCCCAGCTGGAGCCAGAGACGAAGACGTAGACGATAGTCGGGAGTCCGCCCCATGTCTCCTGCTTTCGGTTCCATCCATCGCCTCTGACGTCCAACGGCACCACACAAGAGATTTCGTGAGTGTGCCACGGCGGTGACACATACGTGCCGCGGTTTTCGGCAATGTTGATATCTTCTGGGCTACTGTTGTCCACCACAGCAATTGGGCATCATTTGTAGGCGCGACACGTGCCGCCAAGAAGCGGTGGAGTCGCATAGCTTTAGTGGTCTCCTCAAATTGCCTTTGCATTTGGTAAACGTTCAATGAAATTTGGTCGTAAAACTTGTTGCTTATCTTAAATTCGTTTTTCGGCAATTTGCATTTCGGAAATGTTACTGGAGTTCAACAACTTGGCTGGGATGTTGGGTTAAGTGAAACGATACGTTTTTTATCACAGAATGATTTCGAAAGCATGCAGCAAATCTGAAAGAACATACAATACAAAGTAATTTCGGGCCTCTTAACTTTAACCATATTAATAATATACTATACACATTATAGAAAATAAAATTCAGATCATTATTTCTAAAATATGAAAATAACTGGGTCATTTATATATATGTTTATTTTATCTCTATCTCGTATATACATACATTGTAATCAAATTACCATAAATGTTGTGTATCATTTGGGATTAGTTCGAAACGAATATTACTTTTTGTATTTTAATTGCTCTCTAAATAGCTTAAATATTTATTGTACACATTTTTAATACTACCAAATTTACTTTAATTAATTAATTTATTTAATATACACTAAAAATCGCGTTAAATTAAAATAAGGTTTAAAACAAATGGAAAAAAATTTTAAATGAAAAAAGAAACATAAAACGAAATAAAATTAAGCAAATAATAATTCAGGGGGTTAAACAAAATTAATTGAAAAGATTGGTTAAACCAAGAAAATCCAAACTTAGACCAACACTTAATATCAAAATATTTCATTAATGTTTCACCTGTTCAATTAGTCAGCTTGACATATTCCAGCAACTAATTAATTGACACATAAAGTACTCATTGCGTAAGTTCTTAAAAATGTATAAATATATTTACAAAAATAAATATATTCTACGAGTTTAATGCGAATGCTTTTAAATTGATTGAAAATCAATTATTTGCGTCGAGAGCCAATTAAAAATGTCAACATTATTCGATACCTTATCCAAATGTGTGCTTAACTTTTTTGTGGAGCTAACTTTTCCCAGGCCTTACGGCGAAATGGAAAACTTGCCTGTGACACTGACACTGACAGCCACATCAGTGTGGCCAACGATGGCCAGCCAGCAAATGGTCAACAAAGTAGACCAGACAGGCAATTGGAAAAACAAACATGCCGACAGAGGCAATAGGCCGCTAGATTGACATCTTCATCATAAATAAAAGTGAAAAACTTGTTGGATACTCAAGAAAAGCCGGACGAACGAAAACGAATCCAAGTCAAAGCAAACCAAACGTAACGAAAAATGCTGCCACAGTTTTCTACGATTTGTATCTGTATCTCTAACTATCTGTCTGTATATCAGCATTGCTGTGTGGCAATGTGGCAAGTGAATGTCAATCGAAATGGCAAACAAATAAACTAACTAACAGCCAGGCAAATAATCATAATAATAACAATGCCATTACCCACTATTTGTTGACCAGTTACAAGCCGGCTAATGAAGACATGTTACCATGTGCCACAACATACCGAATGAGGTAGGAAGGCCCCATTTGGTCGTTGTCATAATTACACTTAAATATCGCATACGAGCGCTAATGGAGCGACCAAACATTGAGAGAGAGATGGACGGTGGTGGTGACGGTGACGGTGGCGGGATTTCAGATGCTGGGGCAGTTGCAGTTGAATTTGCTCCCGTAACGCCAAAGTGACTCATGCTGAATTTATCGGTCTATGTTGGATACGCCCTCTCGTAGCTAGGTGTAAACAAATTCATTTCACTCAATAATTTTCTCAACGACCTGTAACTGGTTTGCCCAGCACGTAGTAATGCCTTCAGCTCCAACTCCAACTCCGACTCCGACTCTGACTTGGTTACGCCGACTATCACAGCTACATGACTCTTAAATCTTCTTGCAGAGGCGGCAACATTATTTGCATGCTGATTAGCCTTCAACGCAGACAGGTTGGTACACATTTTGCACCTCACTTTCCATCTCCCAGACATAGCTCCATCTCTTTTTGCCCCTCTATATCTCAGTCCAACTCTAGTTTATCTATTAGCAGCCGCCTTGCACTTGTCCGTCTCGACGCTGGTCCAATTTTCAACACTTTTGACGTGCTGTTAATTGATTTAGAGTGCAGTTTGCGTCCACATTTGCCCATTGAGTCTCAGTGCCTCTGTCCGGTGCGGACGTGGACGTGAACGTTTCTGACATCGTCTATGATTATATAGCGCCACTCGTTTGTTATGGCCAACTTTAGTTGCCACTGTAATGACTGCTGTTGGTAATTGTTGCCTCCTCAATGCCGGCTTGGCGGTGTACGTGCCACCAGTGGGAAAAATGTTTGGCTAACTGCCCAATCGTGCTGAAATGACAACTTTATTAGCTTTCGAACAGATGTGGGCGCACCCCCTAATGTACTAACTATTCATATATATGTATAACTAAATTGTGTGGGTGTCTATTTGGCAAGAGATTTTTTTGACAACTGTACTCAACAAGCCTTGAAATTTCTACAGTTCACAGCTGCTCTGCGCAAAGCAAAGATCATTCGAAATGCATATGGACCAAATGTTGTTTACCAACTTTTTTCCGCTCGAAACAGGGTCAGTGGAACACCTTGCGAGGGCATCAAATTCTCAGTGTTCGCTGCTTGCTGCTCTGAATCAAAACACCAGAATCAGAGACATGTGCACAGCAAGCAACAGATTGCCAAACAGAAAGGGTCCTCAGAGGGTATATACATGTATGTGTGTATTTATATGTGCAGCAAAGCCAAAGGGAGTGCAACAAATGAAACGAATGCTTGAAACATTTGGCAGTTGGTGGTGGTCACAGCAGGTACTTTTCAAGGATAATACAGATGCAGTCACAGTCACAGAGAAAGAAAGAGAGAGAGAGAGAGAGAGGGAGAGCCGTTTGCATCCTGTGCGCAACAGGCTGCAGCCGCTAGTCCAAATGGATTTCTTCTTTTTTTTACCATGCCAAAAAGATTTACTTTTGCTCTTTTTCTCTTTTTTGTTGTTGCTGTGCCACGGCAGCTGCTGCATCGATGTTGATCAGTAAAATGGCAGCAATCACAGCAGACGCTACTTTGTTAGAAACAATACCACAGGCGAAACTGTTGCTTCGCTTGAAAAATTTAAATTTCTAGGCACAACTAGGAGAAACTCTTCAAGTTGGGTGTGTTTGCTTTTGCTATGTCGGTCGCCCAGACAAATTTATAAGTATGCCTGACCGCCACCGCCCTAATGCATGCCAATATTCTTCTTTTAATGCCCATTTGCTATTTATTTATTTTTGCCATTAACATATTTATTATGCATGAGTGTTGCCTGCTAGGCGTTTTAAAAGCGTTCAGATACATTTATTAATTCCATTGAATTAACGGCCATCTACATTCTTGATGTTCAAGTCGTGCTTCGATTGCCTACATTTCTACTATGTGCTATAGACTTGACTCACTAACTTACGTCAAGCAGTTGACGTTACCCTCATGGAATTTTGTTTACAATTTAGGAGTAAATATAAATTTAGAAGTATTATAATTGCTCAATCAATATATTAATAAATTTTGTAAATGTGATGACATCACATAAATTAGTAAGCAAGTAATTTCAAGAGAACGAAATACAAAATAAAATCAAATCATACTTATAGTGGATAATGGATTGGATTTGGTATAATTTTAGGTGTATTTAGCGTCAATTTTAAGAGTGTGAAAAGCATAATATAAAATTCTTCCCACTAAATTCATAGTTTGCAATTATTATGTATTCTTTTTCTATTCTTTTTTATATTCAAATGTACAACGCATTGAAGGAGATATCTCCAAACCCATTAAAAATATTAATTCTTGATCAGGATCTCTAGCCGTGTCCGTATGGCTATGTCCTTCTCTCTGTTTGTTCGAGTTTGATAGTCTTATCTTTATTCCGAAAATTACTGGATTGGACCACAAAATCATATAGCTGCCATAGGAATAAACAGTCAAAAGATTAACATTAAGTGACATGCTTATGCTTATGTATGCCTACATTTCTGTTGATCAAGAGCGGTTATCTTAGGCACGTCTAAGATTATATCCTTTCAGACTGACATCTAAAGTTTTGCATTGGTAAAATTGGAGTGCTACGTCGATAATTGCAAATCGATAAAGCCACATTTCGCCCGCACTTACCAAATTTGGTTCGTAGGTTGTTGGCGATGTCAAATTCAATAACTCTTGTAACTTGGAAGCAAACTCTTCCATCAATTTTTTCAGCCACACCCACTCCCGCCTCCAAAATTCACAAAGCCTATATCTACCGCAATTTGAAAGGCAAACTTGGACAGTATTTCTTGGTTACACCTACCCTGTTCTTTGCTTTCTGTTATCAGCTGGTGTTACTTATGGTATGAAACTATTTTGCAGTCGGTTATTCCCGACTTCAACGTTCTCTATTGTTTTTTTTTTTTATATTTGTGTAAATCGAAAATTTTGATTTGCTATATTTTTTACAAGCTAAATTGTAAAATATTGATAAATAGTAAAATTGGTTTACACAAACTCAATAATTATTCAATATCTGAACAAAATGTAAAGAAATTAAGCTACGGTTTACAAGTCATATAAAGAATAACTTTCTTTCTTATATATATATGTATATATTGTATGGTAAAGATGTTCAGAGTGAGTTACCAACTTGAATATATAACATATGATTGCGAACAAAGCAAGAATTTATTATTTCAAATGGAGTGGTTCATATTAACTTGCTGCCCCAAATACTTATACCAATATAAAGTGTACTTTATATAGTCTAAAAAAAACCACAGTTTGATTGCTTAAAATTTATCGAGTCGAATTTTTGCGGCATGTCGCCACTACTGTTGCCACACAAGAGCTCCGAGCCTTAAAAAAAAATACAAATCTGGACAAGAAAGCGAAACATAAAGTAAACCTGATGCCAGTGCGACAGTTGTTGCAGTTGATGGACTGCGCCGGCTGCCAGGATTTTTTATTTTTATTTTTTTATTTTGGAATACGACATTTAATGCGACGCCGCGAAGCCAATCAAAAACCGGCGCAAGGGCATCAGCTTGGATACCGCAAGGCGACGAATTGGAGCCCAAATTTGGTGGATGCTCTTTAGTAAATAAATGGAACGCGTGTGGTTTTTAATTACATGCAGTCTGGCTGGCAGGCGGGGTATTGTACTTTTGTCTTAGGTGTTTTTTATTAACTAGTTTGGGTTTGACATATGGCACGCGTTGTGCATTGCGATTCTTGGGCACAGTTTGTTGACTCTGCGCCAGCTGCTGGGCGTCTGTGCAACTTAAAGTTTGCACAGCGTTGTAAACATTACGCAAACATGCCACAGAGGAGATCGACAGCGTCTTATTCTTAAACTGCAACATGACTTTTGTGTTTGATTGTCACAGCCCAAGAAATCAAATTGAAAAAAATCATTCAATGCCAGCAGGGGAAAACCACCCCAACTGCGACTACTGTGTTCTCTTTGTCCTTTGCTTGATATATTTTGTACAATTTATTTTTCGATTTGCTGCTCCTTTGTGCGCCCGTCTGATGATTTTCCATGGCTGTTAAATTGATGGATTGCTGTGCGACTTTTGACACCACATACAATTGCATTTCCCCCTGGACATCGTCTAAGAAGCATCGAAATCTTAGCTGCCAGTTCTTAACAAGCATGAATAATGTGACTTTCAACTGACCCAGCTCCTTTTGGCATCTCCTTCTGTCGCCTTCTTGCGTTGAATCCATATATTTGCATAGCTAAATTTAAAAAGACATTTATTTTTCGACATTTACGGTCATTTTTATGGACGCTTTTCTTCAAATTCCCTATAGCTAACGATTAAGGTACGACTGCTAAAAGTCGTTTAATTTGTATAATAAATCAGCCATGCATTGCATGCCAAATAATATAGTTACTTTTAATGCATAAATTTATTTAAAAAAAATGATTGGAACGATTACGGTAAGATACGGGTTTTAAATGTAAATGCATTTATATTTTCTAATGAGTGAATGTTTTGGCTGCCTTAAAAAATACACTTTCTTTACTATTTTTAGATTCAACTAATATATACAATCTTTCATGGTGCTTAGTCAAAATCATTTACTATGACATAATATCAATTCTCTACAATTACACATAGTTACATATTTATACGTGCTATTCTCAACTGGCGTACTTTTCATTTCTTGTATATCAGTTTATATTCATAAAATGACTTGAGCAAACAAAAAGGGGACATTTTTTTTTGACCAGCTTGACTAGCAATACACTTCATCTACTTCAAAGCATTGTATATAAGTGCTAAAATGTCTAAGTCTGCTTTCCATGTTCACAGCTATACTCGCATATACGGAGACGCATACAAACTCATAAGAGAACGGACGCAGCCACTTGAGAAATCCACCTGCAATGATGCGCATCTGCGATCTGCGGTCCCTATTCCCAGTTCTCTGTCCCCGTGACTGTTTCTGTTCTCTTTTCCATATTCCTGTTTGCTGCTCAAGTTCCAAATGTTGTGTCTGTTTTTAATGTTTATAAACCTTACGCACACTTATGTTTTAATTTCGCTGGCCCAGTGCCGGTTGGTGTTTTCGCTGCTGTTTCTACTTGAACAAACTGCAGATTACCCAAGTTAAGCCCTTAAGTGTGTTCCATATCAGGTTTATCATTATCGGCCTTGTTGTTGCATATCGTATCGAAGACGAGCATTCGCTTGACTGGCTAACCGTACGAGCGGTCGAGCGAACGGATTAAATATATCATTTTAGCCTGTCTAATGAAAGGGTTGTCCTGGCAACTCAGCCAACACCTGAAATTTGCAGTTGCCTCTGCTACACACAACCTGCTCACAACGGCAACTGTTTTTTTTTTTTTTTCTTCGGGCTACTTGAATGCTTTATGAAGAAAGTTGTTTATGGGGGTAGGAAATATAGCAGGCGTAATGATTGATATTGAGGAAGTTGTCTTGTGGTTGTATTACATTATAATAGTGGATATACACTGCCAGGAATTGAAATACCTTAACCATAAAAGTAAATAAAAATACTGATAATACAATTTGACACATAAAAATGCCAATTACACATATTTTTTTTTTTATCTGTAGCCTCATAACGAACGAGTTTTGTAATGAAATCTTTCAAATTTTTAGATCTATAAATTATAATTAAAATTTGTTAGTCTGTTTCGTAGGACTGTACAAAATTAAATATTCCAATACAGCTTAAAAAAAAAAGTTTTCTTTACTAATTAAGCAAACCCAAATTTTTTCAGTGTACTTAAGTTCATCTGGCTTATACCGCTTACGACACAATGACGATAATAAAGTCCTCATGAAATTAATGAGAAAACAGGGGAAAAATAAACAGGGTGTCTCGCAAAAATGTGATCAAGTATACTCATTTTAATATTGCCTAAATCTGTTATTCTGACTTTAAATTATAACTTATTAATATGAACTTGTCATGTAAATTTTTAGTAACTGACAAATTACGTGATTTTACAATGAGTATAAATTGGCAGACATTTCCGAAATTGTTTATAGTTTTACCTGTGCTACACTATGCGCTATCGTGTTATACGCAAACTGAATCCGAAGAACACAAACGCAGAAGGGACGTGAGTATGTTCGAATTAAAAATATATTTGCAAAGATTTAATGAAATATTATGTACAGAAATTGCCAATACGAAGGATGTAAATATTGCCCGACTAATGGCTAAATTAGCCCAGGAATAGTATGAATGATGGAGCATCCTGTATGAAAGAATCGAAAAATGTTTTTTTTTTTAATGTTTATGTTCTGTGGCAAATTATCCCTGGCTAAAGACTTATTGACGACGACAGCAACAACGAACACCAAACGAAAAGTAGCATAGCAGAAACGGAAGTAAAAGTCAAGGTGCAAAACAAAATCATTACACCTGTTCTTCGTCCACGAAGCGAGTGGCTATTGGAGTGAGTGTAGAAAGCGTAGTAATCGAACGCCACACAAGGACGATGCAGAATGGGGCAGCGGCACGAATCGCTACAACAACATTTAGCGGTCGCTGTATTTTTAGTTAAATTCGGATGCATTGCCACTGGCAAAAAGGGGTAAGAAGCGCGTGCAGTCGATGCATTTGCTTTTACGCAGCTTGGGTTAAATTTTTGGGCTTTGGTCACGCTGCACTTGTCACGCTGCTCTGTTGCATGTTGCAGGCGACACAAATGTGAGCAATTCGCTATCAAAATTAATAAAAATAAATACGCTCCGCTCTGCTCCGTTGCGCAGCCGTTAATGAGCAGACAGCCAAAAATAAATGATATGGATCTGCAACAGGTCGCAGTTGCAGCTGCAGCGAACTACAGGTACGGTTATAGTTAAGTCAAGGATTTGCACGACATTGCATTTAAATTGTTGCATTTAATATCACATTTCGAGCTCATGGAATACATTTTGTGATCATTGCATTTACATTTTATTGATATCATTAGCACTTCATATAAGTTAGTTTCCGTTGCTGCACCTGCTGGCCGTAATGGCTGAAAGGTTTCGTTAGAATTAATGGCCCCAAAGGGGTTAGTTTGAGTTTGTTTTCCTTAGTTTTGTCTGCCCTCTCGTGCTACTCTTTTAATTGCGGCTCGTCTGCATTTTTGTAATTTATTATCTATTCATCAGAAAGCATGCACGAGAGGGTTGCATTTTTGGCTTTATATTGCATGTGCATGGAAGTGAATCTATAATAAGGAAAGGTAACGGTAAACAGATGAAACATATTTCGGTCCAATAATTGGGCAACCGAAATTAAAGGTAACAAACAAAAATGCATGCATATGTATTCAAAGTATATTTTAAAAAAAATGGGTATGTAATTTTAAAACTCTTTGAAAATTCCAATTAGAAATTTAATTTTATTCAGAATATAAAAACATCTATAATAATTTTATTAAGAAAATAATGCAAACGCATATGCGTAATTCTTAATTAAATATTTTTATACCCTAAAGCAGTCGCTATGTGTGTCAAAATTAATAAATTCAGTCAAAACTAAAAAAACAACGTACTCACAGACGCTGCCATGTATGTTCAGTCGGTTTATTTCTGAAAACTTGACTCTCTAATTATGATTTAAATTAACGAAAGTCGGCAACTAACCAAACTTAACTTTTCATCAAGCATTATAATGTTTATGTGCGAAAATATTTTTTTTTTTTTGCCAAATATCCTCCCCAAAACTGTTTTTCTATTCACCATCCATGCCTGTGTATATGTAAATATAATATATATAAATATATATATATATATATACAAATATATATATATAAATATATATATACCTATAATGAGTAATAATAAGGAATATCTGAAATTATAAGCAAAGAATTAAAATTGTGCAATAATATCCACAAGTTTATGATGCAAACACTTGCAATCATGAAGTTGATAACTTTGGTAGCCGTTAACAATTCACCCTACCACAAGACAAACGACTTAAGCCACAAACTTCCGCTTGCCTCACGAATTACTGGCAAAGGGTCGCCTCAAGCATTACATATTATTTAATAATACACTTGCTGATAGCGGTATAGTGGTCCAACAACTGAAGAAGAGCACTTGTGACCAGGCAGAGAAAGAAAGAGATAGAGTGGTAGGTAGGGGGAGGGGAGACTGCAGCAGGGAGACTGACTAGCGCACCTTGCGCTGTTTATTTGGCAGCATGAAAAATTGAAATGACAGTCGAGCTTATCGCAAGACGAAAAGATGACAAAGAAGAAAGGGAGGCAGGATGTGCGGCACTGGCTTGAATAAATGTATTTTTGGCAATGCGTCAGTTGCAATTAAAGTGACAGCCCAGCGGCGTCCTGCGATGACAACCTGCAACTGTCAAAATGTCTCTGCGGCGACGGCAGTGGCAAAAACTGTCACCGTTCAGTGTCGAGAGACAGACAAAGAGACAAATGTGACGCCATATAAAATCAATAAATTATGAAAGCCCTGGCGCACTCCTGCTGGCCTCGGCTGGCACCGCAACCGGCAGTTGCATAATACATATTCTAAATGTGTCCCAGGATGCGAAAGGACAAGCCGCGGTTGCAAACCGGTTGCGATAGCCCATGTCCTTAGGGAAAAGGCGCGTCTGTACGAGTAGTTGGCGTTGATTGATTTAACTGCAGAAGCTGTGCTTCAGGTTGACTTTGTCGTTGTTGTTTCTGACTGCCTAATGAATTAATTGAGCCTGGCCATAATTAAATTTACACTTTTCGTTTCTTTTTTGCTGAAAGCCATTAATTTATGAGCTTTTAATTATTTTCGCAATTAAAGCTGCAGCGCTCACACGCACATCGAGCATTATTTTATAAATATTTGCTCACAACAGGATCAACAGGATATGCTGCTCATTTGTCAGTTATGAAGCGTTAAATCGAATGGAGACCAGAAGGGAGCCAGAATCTCAAAATTTTGTTAGCCAACAAATAAAAACAGATAACTTGACGAGCGCCCGGTGGTTAAACAAAAGACTCAAGCAACAAACTTGTTTTACTTTATCGTCTGTTTTCTGTTTTCTTTTTTATTTTTGGCAGCTGCTTTCTCGAGCCGTTGCCATTGCCATCGCATGCTGATAGAGCGGACTTTTTTTTTAAATTATATAAAGCATTATTTTCTTCCAGCTATACAATAGGACTGATCTTTCACTGGTTCAGGTGCAATGCCAGGCACTGGCATTGTTCTATTTCTCACAAAAAAAATGTCATTTTTAAAACTTAATTGTTTGGAATCGCTTTATTGTACTCATATATATGAAACTACCTGCTAAACAAAAAACAGCAAGCAAAAAAAAGAAAACAGAAAGAAAAGAGAAAAAACCATTTCGTGCGTAGCTGTTCTGTGAGGCTCGCACGCAGCTGGGACTAGCAGATATGCACAGTACGGGATTGCAACAACAGATCTTCTTTCCTCTTCAATTTTAGTTTAGGTTTTTGCAGGTGGACATCACAAAATATTCTCAGGGCCAGTTATGTGTCTGGTTACGGTTATAAAATGTATTCGAGTTTGGCAAACGTGGGAACAGAGATTTATTGGCAGCGATTCGAGTGGATTTCTCGTAAGATTAACTATGGCAGAAATTAAAAGAAAACGTTGCCTTTAATAATAGGTCGTGTTTTGAAATAAACTATGCATTTGTTTTATTTGTATATCATTCCAATAGATTCTTTCAACTTTTTAAACATTTTCCAGTTATTAAAGTGATTTAAATATCAAATATGTAGCCTACATATTTCATACAATATGTTGGCCATGCCCATTAGTTACTCAACAGTGTACTTTGGAGATTTCTATCCGATTAAGACATTTACTCCTCAAACATTTCACTTTTCGAGCAATTTCACCCTTTTGTGATTATGATTTTCCGCAATGAGTTTGCTCAACTCGCTCGTCTCTATCGGTAATCAAATGACTTGGCAACTTTGTAACTGCCACAGGTTGTAATCAAAAGCACTCACAAGAGCAACGCATATTACAACTTTAATTGTTTGCAAATTAGCTAATTAAGAGCATTAACAAAAATATTATTATAATTTTAATTGGAGACGAAATAATTCGCAGAGTGGCGGCGTAAAACCATAGGTTAGTAAACCTCTGAACAAATGCGGTCGAGAGGGGCATTTGAAGACATTTATGAGCCCATTTAAATTGTATTGCCGCACAGCCAACGAATTTCCGCAATTTGGACAACTCTGACCGATCTGCGATGAGATAAGCGAAAGAAAAAAAATAAACCAAAACACCCATAACCATAAGAAAATTAAGAAAAAATTTAAAAACAATGAGCTCAAGCACATAATTGAGATGTTCGTGCACCATGCGGAGTCTCTCCTGGCTTTGCGACCCTGTTGTCATCGTTAAAGACTTAATTTATTTATTAGCTTCAGATTTTAACTGATCCATTGTTTAAGACGATACACGTTCAGAGGCTGTGCAATTGTCACAAAAAAGAAAAAAAAAAAAACAAATAAAAATAAAATACACGTAATAATAAAATAATTACCTAAAATATTGAAGTGCATTCGCTCTCAATTGTAAAACAGCCGGCCAGCTAATTAGGAGGCTTCTTTAGCTCCTTCTTTACCCGCGTCTCCAGTTAGCACGAGAGCCCAAAAGAGGCGGTACTGTCTGCCGCGACGTCTTCGGCTTTTACAACTTTGTTTCTGTCGGCGGTTGGGTTCATTTCTGAGCATGTTTTTGGTTGTTTCATATTTTATGATGATATCCACAGATTTTGCACCTTATGAGAAAATCTCAAGATTGGCCTCGGCCGGTTCGTCGTTGCCGCTGTGTCTCATCTGCCGCCGACGTAAACGGCGACGTCGACTTCAACGCCGATGTTAACGTCATTGCCAATCTTGTTAAAGCTGCTGTTCGCCGAATTGACACTTTGTTGCGCCTGCGCAGTCGCTTTACCGCAATTTGTGGCTGACTGTCGGATGGCTGTTTGACTGCTCTTTGGACATTTGAAAGTCCGTTTGGCTGTCAAAAGCGTTAATTTTTTAGTGCCTAGTGAGAGTTTCGTGTTCGCTGAACTGGGCCTTCATGCAGTTGCTGGCATAGACACGTCAGATAGCTAACAAAGTATTATAACTAATATGTGTGTCTGCCTATAACTGTGTACGCTGTGTAAGGCTATGTGTGTGTGTGTTAGGTTTAGTGAGTACACGGGATCAAGTGCCAAGTGTCTTTACTATTTTTTATTTGCCACATTCTTTTCAAAATGTTGAACCCATTAATTTGTAGCTTGTCATTAGCAGCTTCTTAATAAGTTAGCTTTCTTTTTTTTTTTTGGCAAATTAACAGTTGCTTGAAACGGAACTCGGCATGTCAGTTGGTCGCAGTCAGCTTAAACTTTAGCAAAAGATATCGTAATAAAATAATTCATATTTAATTGAATTTATGTAATTTATCCAATACATTTAATTTATTCGGACTTCACAAAATTTGATATGCTTTTCCATAGTGTCAGACGAAAGTTTACACATAGCAAATAAATAATCAATGGTTTATTAGTCCTGATCAAATAATATAATAAAAGCACCCAAACAAATTACACCCAAACATTGATGATCCATTTCACACGATTTATTTGTTGTTGTAAAAGTTTCTATATTTGATTTCGTTGTTGTTTCTTGTTTATATTGCGCTTCTCCTCAAACACAAATGTACACTTTTTAAATTCCAAATCAAGATTAATTAAATCATGAGATTTTCATGTCATTTTTCATTATGATAATGATCTAAAGAGCTCGACTTAGATATTTAAATCAACTCTAGCTCTTAATCTCTGAGAAGGGCGTGTTCAAACAGACGTGATGACTTGGAAGTTGACGCTGATCAAGAATATTTCTGATTTATTTTACAAACAACCAACTTAAAACAATCTTAAATATGTTTATCTTTATTTCCTCGTA